ATTGGTGGCGCCCCTCACACCTGAGGCACCAAGTCCATGCAATCAAAAACCACCGTTACCTCCATTGCCTCCAACGGTGCCTCCTCAACCTCCATCGCTTCAACCTCAACCTAAACCTCCTCAACCTCCATCACCTCAACCACCATCACCTCAACCTTAGCCTCCACGCGTCTCAACCTCCATCGCCTCAACCTAAACTCTCTACCTCCATCACCTCAACCACCATCACCTCAACCTAAGGCTCCACCGTCTCAACCTCCATCCCCTCAACCTAAGCCTCCATCGCCTCAACCACCATCGCCTCAACTAAGCCTCCACCGTCTCAGCCTCCATCGCCTCAACCTAAGCCTCCACCGTCTCAGCCTCCATCGCCTCAACCTCCATCGCCTCAACCTAAGCCTCCACCATCGTCTCAGCCTCCACCATCTCAACCACCATCGCCTCAACCTAAGCCTCCACCATCTCAACCACCATCGTCTCAGCCTCCATCACCTCAACCTAAGCCTCCACCATCGTCTCAACCTCCACCATCTCAACCACCATCGTCTCAGCCTCCATGCGCTCAACCACCATCGCCTCAACCTAAGCCACCACCATCTCAGCCACCACCGTCTCAGCCTCTACCGCCTCACCACCATCACCTCAACCTAAGCCACCACCGTCTCAGCCTCCACCGCCTCAACCACCATTGCCTCAACCTCCACCACCACCGTCTCAACCACCATTGCCTCAACCTCCACCGCCACCGTCTCAACCTCCAGTGCCTCACCACCATTGCCTCAACCTAAGCCTCCACCGCCTCAACCACAACCTCCACCGCTTCAACCACCATCTCCTCAACCTAAGCCTCCACCATTCTCAGCCTCCACCGTCTCAGCCTCCACCACCTCAACCACCATCTCCTCAACCTAAGCCTCCACCATCTCAGCCTCCACCGTCTCAGCCTCCACCACCTCAACCACCATCTCCTCAACCACCATTGCCTCAACCTCCACCACCTCAACCTAAGCTCCACCGCCTCAGCCACCATCTCCTCAACCTAAGCTACCCACCGTCTTCAACCATCGCCGCCTCAACCCACCACCAGCTCTTCCTCAACCACCATTGCCTCAACCACCACCAGCTCTTCCTCAACCACCATTGCCTCACCACCACCAGCTCTTCCTTCAACCACCACGCTCTTCCCGCCTCCTCCACCGCCTCAACCACCATTGCCTCAACCACCACCAGCACTTCCTCAACCACCACCAGCTCTTCCTCAGCCTCCACCGCCTCAACCACCATTGCCTCAACCACCACCAGCTCTTCCTCAACCTCCATTGCCTCAACCACCACCACCACCGCAGTCTGATTGCCCGCCTCCACCAGACTGCCATTCTGATTGTGAACATCCCCCAGAACCTGATTGGCCACCTTTCGAGCCATGGGTTCCACCTTTTATAAATCAAAACTGGAAGTGTTGGCAGTCACTTAACTCTATTGGAAGTTGTGTAGAAGAAATTATAATGTCAGTGAGTACGGGCAATATTGTTGTTGGTTCGGCTTGTTGCTATGCCTTCAAAGACATAAGTGATGATTGCTTTAACAAAATGTTTGTTCCTTACAATCCGGCTCTTCCGCTTGCTATCAGAGAACACTGCTTCAGCCATCCGTAGGGATATTAAATTATTAGAATTTTTGTAGTTTGTTATGGTTTAGGTTGAATAGTTTTATTATTTTAACCTTTTTTAGATTCTTTTCATTCTTTAAACTGATTTAGGAAGATTGTTTCCCAGTTGCTCCAATGAGACTAGTAGCATTCTTTCATATATATTTGTTTGTCTTTATGCTGTGATGGCTTCTTTGTCATACTCAACAGTTTCCCTACACATGATGCACAATTATTGTACACGGTTGATGTAGCTGGAAAAATGCACCATACATAGCCCTTCTCTGTCCTTGCAAGGCTGCACCATAACTGATATTTCTAACTCCTTGAATCTCTCATCGGAATGATTTGCCATATGAACAAATGACTAGGTTCCTGGATTCTGATTGAATGGAATCCAATAATGTCAATTCTGGTGATCTTGTGAGCTCATGCATGCATGATCACATCATGCAAAGTGATTGCAGATCAACAACGAGATGGATAAGTGATGCAAAACAAATTAATGTTTGGTGATATTTGTTAACCTCTCCTGATTGCTTTACATTGAAAAACTTAACAGTAATGCTAGACAACTGTCCTTGGACTATCCCTTTCCACAGTGAGTGCTGCTTCCAACTCTCTCTCATGCATTTGTCAAGTCCACAGTCTCCTTTTTCTAGGTAAACTTGGTAATATTTTCATTCAAATGCCATAGTCAGCGTGCATATGCAGTGTGCTGTACAATTTTCACTTTTCCACGTACTGGTTATCCAGACTTCTCATAAGATTATGTATGTATGCGATATGTTTGCCTGGCAATGAACAGGATTCAAACTGCCCAAATTGTGGTTGAATATGCACACATACTAAAGATTATGCACAAAGCATACAATCTCCTTTTTTTTTTTTTACCATTTAATGAAAAGTGGGATGTCATTAAAAATTTGGGTAGATTTCTTGTGCTAGAAGAGAGACTGTTTATCTGCTAGAAACCCTTTTCCTATGCTAGAAGTGAAGAACTAGCGCAACAAAAACTTGAAAAAGAGGAAAAGCTTGGGGCAGTGAAATGAATCCGTTGCAGCAAGCTGCAATGATTAACAATACAATTATAATTAAGTCATTAAACTAATTTAATATCAGTCGTGACGTACTAAGTGAGTTAGAGATCCAAACTTCGCATATAAACTCTCTATATATTCTTATTTATTTTGAAAAAAAAAAGTAAAAAAGGATTTAATCAAAGATATTAATTAAATTAAATTCAAGCTTTAGTCTTACTTTTTATCACCAACATAAACAACTACTTTTAGTTCATTGTGTAAAATAATTAGCAAAAAATTGAGAAATAGCCAGTCTCAATTCTAGGCAAGGAAAATGCAATTAGGTAGCTACGTACAAACTTTGGTTATGACATGGGAACTCCAATAATCGTAAGAGGGTGCCTGTCATTGTTACCAACATTCTCCTGCTTCATAAAGTTAAAAATATTTAGTTAGTGAATAAGCCTAGCACTCCACCTATGCATATATTGTTCTTTTCAAAGCCTATACCTATATAAATAAATATATATATATATATATTAAATTATTTCCATTGGGAACGTTTTCCATCTTTTCCTCATTACCCAACTGGGATAAGTATAAATATTTTTTATTATCATTTTTTTAGAAAAAAATTTACTCATCCAAAATGTTTAATATTTCAATATTATGAGAATTAAATGTGTGGCTTATACCTTTGAAAAGATTAGAGCAATATCTAATCATATTCACTTGTACATATCTATGAAAATTGTCACAAATTAAGGTCTTTTTTTTTAATTTACTTGTGATAAGGCTAAAGTTCTCAACTTAGCTTAAATATCTCATGAATTTTGTAAAGTGTATTAGGTGCACATAAACACCTTGTTCTTCAATTTTTTTTTGTTTTAAATATAAAATGTGTAGTTAATTAATTATTTACTTGTAAATACGTATGAAATTTTCACGAATGTTTGTGAATACTTAGATGCTATATCTATATGATATAAGGCTAAAAGTTATAAACTTAGCTTAATTATCTCTTAACTTAAGTACATGTAAACCCTTTTTTCTCATAAAAATTTATCTGAAAAATATAAGTTATTTAATTTTGAAATTAGAATATCAATGGGTAATTTTTTTTACTTATTTTACAAATAGATTTATATTTTAAATAATACCAATTGAAAGATTATCGATATTAGCCTTGTTTCAATTAATTGTTATAATTGCTAAAATAATTAAAATTGAAATCGAATTTATTCTACAGTATTGTTAAGTAAATTTAGTCATTTACTTGAAGAGAAGCCCCTCCAAGATTCAACGCCGTAGGGAGGCTCCCTTCCTTTGCAAAAAAAGGTTTATGCTGAAATTAACCAACCTTTTCTCACAATTAAAAATTAATTATTATGAAAATTAAAAATACTTTAATTAAGTGGGTCATTGTTAAAGAAAGGAAAGAGAATAAGAGAGAAAAATCAAAGGCCACTTGGTCCACAAAAATGTCTACACCTAGGGCTAGATATATAGGGCTCTAGGGGTAGAACTTAGGCTAAAGGTTTAGACCCTAACCTTGACCCATTGGCTTAGACTGGTCCACAACCCTATCATAACTGGGGGCTATGATAGACCTAACAAAACTCTAATGATGTTCAATTCTTCACCGGACCCTCTTCGGCCAATTGGCGCTAAGATGACTTTTGGTAGCCATTCCCAACTTTCAACCCTTGTGTTTTCTTAAATAATAAGATTTCCATTATTTGATATAATGAAAAGCATTTCTAATCCTAGTGACATTTGATTATTTGATTTTAGAATGTTAAGTTAAGATATCAAATGAATGATTGTTATATATAAAGAACTCCACTCCAAGCGAATGCCAATAGAATTCCATGATGGCAACTATTCATTATTATTTCATGTTGGATTTAGATTTAATTGTAAACAATGTATGCCACTTAAGATGAATAGATTATATCAAAAATTAAATTAACATCTTGTAACAATAATGAAATTAAGGATGTCAATGGGTAAAATATTCGTAACTCATTATAAGTAGTAATTTTACTATTAAAATCTTATCAAAACTTGATCAAAAGATATTTTAATTTTACTTAATTGAGTTTAATAGTGTATAATACCCGATTACAAAGTATCCATTGACATCCATAAATAAAATTTTATAATTACCAAGTTATTTCTCGAATGAGAAATATTTTCCATGAAAATATAAACTTGTGCATTTGTTCTTTTAATAGTTAAGGTTGGGAGATGGATTTTGATCCTTGAAAAATCTCACTAAGGGGTAAATGCGATCACATTCCTATAATTACCTTGATTATCTTCAACTATTTTAATCATTAAACTATTCAGCCGACATTGGTATACTATTTTAATCAATATCATGATCAAACTAAGACTATAACTATTAATCTACATATAGATTGACAAAAGATTAGAAAAAGAAAACAAAGAAATTTCTGGAAGAACACATCAATAATGGGAAGCCAAGCCATAAGCTACGGAGGTTCGGTTTTAGTAGTACAGTTTGCAAGTGGCAGATTCCTTTTGCAGCCAAAAAGCTTCCTCTTTCTCCCAAAGATCTCCAACTGTTCCAACTACTGGCAGATACCAACAGCTTCAGCTTTTCACATATCAACAAAAACTTGTTTTGTTTTCTTCAATTCATTCATTCATTTTTATTACTAACTTTTTGACTTTTACTCTTTCCTTATATAGTATCTTTCATTGCATTTTCACTCCAAAAGCTTTCCAATTGTGGCCACCCAAACCAACTACACCACCCAAAAAACATGGCCACCACCACTACCACAACCAGCAAGGCCACTGCTACCACCACCACCACCCCATGATCATCATCATCACCACCCCAGTAACATGTTAGGCCTGCATAACATCTTTCTTATAGCTCCACCACCATCACAGCAAAACCAACAACAACCAACCCCACCACAACCACCACCACCACCAACACCAGCACAAGCCTTTAACCAAGACTACAACTTGAGTGACACAAATTTTTGGACTTTAAGGAAGAGCACCACCCAAGAATCACCAGTTTGCCAAAAGAAAGATGGAGTCTTGAGTAGTGTTGAAGATGGTGATGGTTGCTTCAAGGTGTGCAGAGACTGCGGGAACAGAGCAAAGAAAGAGTGTGGATATAGTAGGTGTAGGACCTGTTGTAAGAGTAGAGGGTATGATTGTGCTACTCACGTGAGGAGCACGTGGGTGCCTGCTGCTAGGAGAAAGGACCGGAAGGTGGTGGTGCTTGGTGATGATGGTGGTGGTGGTAGTGGTGGTGGAGGGTCTTCAGGGTCCTCTTCTTGCGGTGGTAAAAGGCCAAGAGTTTTGAATTCCACATCAAATGGTACTTCCAGTTCTAATGCTGTTTCCAAGTCTTTGAATTTCGAAGCCGGCACTTCTCACCAGGGTCTGTTTTCGCTTTCTCTACTAATGATTAGATTTAGTTTCTTTGTAATTTCTCTCCTTATGTTCATCTTTGCTTCATAATCTTTCCTTTTCATTTTTCTTGATCCAATAATCAATTTTATTGATTCCATAGTGGCGAAATCATTGAATTGAGGATGAACAATGATAGGTATCTTTGGTTTAATATAGGTAGAGACACAATGGGATTTAAGAATGATTAAAATGAAAAGGATTTGTTGAATTGTTGAGTATTCATACGAGTCTGATCCTCTGTTTCCACTTCAATGGATAGTTGTCTGATTGTCATACAAGTCTTTTGTGTACTAATTATAGAGACTTAAAGGAATTGAATGATCTAAATGCATTGAATTTGTTGAATTATTGTGTATTTATCATAGA